ATAATGGCTCCACAATGTAGACGATTTACATTTTTTTGTCAATTCCTTGAAATATACCAACAAAGTGTCTTCGGAAAACGAATTTGTGCCAATTTTTAGTCGCCAGTCCATAAAGCTGTTATATACAATTGTGTAATTTTTTCGTGATTTCTCTGGAAGTAATTCCAATGATGCTAATTTCGCGGCTTCACGAATTTCAGGAGGGGTGCATCGAATTTCATTTTCACTGTCAGAATTAAACTGCAAAATTACTGCAAAAGTCAAAAATGTTTTATTTTGCGAAGTGTTGTCAAATCAATTACATTAGTTACCATAGTAACAATAATTCAAGCAAGCTCGATTCTATTTTGTAGCGCGGTCAGAAGCTATAAGGGATACGTATAAAAATTCATATTCCACACCTGTGGAATATGAAACTCATATTCCACGGGTGTGTAATATGAGTTACATTATGTACTTACTATCACAATTATAATGCGTCTATTATTAAATAGTCGTAGATAAAAATTATTCCCATATTCTGAATATGCAAGATGCAAGTAATCTGCCTACTTTGATTTTTTTCAATTTTGCTCTCCTGTGTAAGTACTTTTTTTTTTAAAGTGAACAAAAATTATAAAAATCCCAAATTCATTGATAATTGGTTTTAATTTTGCAGTTCAGTGATTTATCAAGAAATACAAAAGTAGGCAGATTTTCTTCAAACTCGCTATTTTTGCATCAAAGCTACTAAATAACTAACCCATAGAGACGTTATTTCTGATAATATCATCAGTTAAGAGTTTTATCTATGAAGTTGGATGTTTTTTGTATACCTAGGTTTTTGTTGCCGAAGAACATCATCTTCATTTGATAGGATTTAAAAAAAGAATAGTTTATTTCAATTAGTTTACCTTTAAAATTCACCTTTGAATTCACTTGAATTCAATTGACCTTTAAAATTAAATAAATATACGAGAACTAATAATAAAATACCTACATATTTTTGGAATACTTACCTATGTGAATAATATTTGTCAATGTTTTTGACGCCTTATGTGAAAAAGGCACTCTTTTTTTGCCGATATATACAGTTAAGATACGTAATATTGATGCAGCCTAACTGATCACCATAAGAGACTGGGGATGGACTGTATCTTCTACTTCTTATAATAAAAGTGAAAATTATTGGGCAAATTGAAGTTTGTATTTTTTATTTATTCTTGTTGTCAAGTATACACTCTTTTTTCTTTAAATTCAATTCAGAGAGAGTTCCTTGTTATGTGAAAAAATTCTGTTGCTTAGATATATTAATTAAATCATTTATTATAGAACCACAACAAAAATGAAGACGTCTCGTACATATTAAAAAGGATTAGTTATTTAGGTGCTCTTTAACTGACATAGGTAATCTTTATCGATTTCTAAGAAGAAAATTAACAACTTATTCTGTACAGGACACTACATATTTTGATGCACTTAAAACTATATTTTTGTACATTTGATAATCAGAATAAGAATAACTTTTTTTCATAAAATGAAAAATAAAAAAGTTTTCCCTCTTTTCCAACCAAATAAGAAATAGTTTACTAGCAGAAAACAACTAAATGTTTATATGTACGACACTTGATTGAGCGATGTTTTTCACGAAAAAGAATAAAAAAATCACTAATCCCAAATTAAAAAAGATAGAAAAACCGTTGGATGGAAAAAATTTTAAACCATTCTCTAGCTATTTGTAAAAAAAGACCTAATTCTATTTTTTAAACCTCTACAAATTTGTTTGCAGTAACCTTTCACTGTGAACTTAAATTCTTATTTCAATGTTGTGGTTCCAAGAAACCATCACATCTTTGAGTTTCTGAGATCCCAATACATGTATCACCAGCCCACTCGATATATTCTATATGTATGACAATAAGTTATGATGATAATCATATTTTGTTTTATAACATATTATCTGGCCAAAGTTGTTTGTGTGTCACAAATTAAGAAAAAGTCTTAGTATCCGAGATACAGTGTCCAATCTGAAAACGGTTTTTTGAATATATATAAAAAGTATAAAGCTAAACAAATAAAAGGTGACAAGTATTCTTGTATTCGTTACAAAACAAAATTAAAACTATGAACTAGAATCATTTATTGATGGATAAAACTGTGGATGGTAACATTTCATCTTGTTTGATGTGGCATTTTTTCATTTACTGAAGGCTCGCTTTTACAATTTTAACTTTTTTAAAAATGTACCTACAAAGAAGTTTAAATGTAATCAGTGTATGAAACTGGGTAACTTTAAACAAAAAAGGGAAAAGTTTTTTTTTGGTGTAAAAAAAAGTGAATATTAAAGTTGTGGTCTTAAATGAGTGAAAAAATAGTACAATAAGAAAGACAGGGAAAAATTGTACCTACCCCGCTTTGACTCATTTCTGAATAATTCTGGTTCATAGTTTAAGGTATGAGGTTTTTTCTGGTTGTTATGCCCACCCTGATGGATGTGACCAGTTCCTGAGGCCACTACGAAACGTCTCAAAGGACCAGGCCTGAGGCGTGAAATGAATGAAAACAAGAACCGAAATGAACATCAAGATGGGCTTAGAGGTTCTCATAGTGGTCCGCCCCCACAGAGCCTAGCTCGAGAACAAGAGCAGGTCAAAGGTACCTATAACAAAATTTAAGTATCATGTACCTCCAAAACTAAGCATATTTCGATACATATTTTTGGCAACTTTTTTCTTTACTTTCTACCATCTTGAAAATTACCTATATTTTTGCAAAAACAAATTTAAATTTTGCAAGTGTTTCTATTGCTTTGTATTTCGAATAGTAGAAAGTACCTTTGTTGGTCTATAAATCAGTTCATTTATTGCTACAGAAAAGTTGTTCATTTTGTAGTTACAAAATTAATAAAAATAAATAATTTCTGATTATGAATTAGCAATTATAAAACAAATAGTTAAGTTAAATGTCTTAAAATATTAAAATATTTTGAAGTCTTTCCAGTTTCTAAATGGACACCGCTGATAAATACATATTACTGACATCTGTACTACAGAAGCTAAACTAAGCTTAGATCCAGTGGCGGCTAAATGCACCTGGAAATTTTTAGTTGCATTTACAATATTACAGAAAAACTGATGTTCATGAGCAGGATTTTCATTCAGATTTTATAAAAAATAATACGCAACTATTTGGATATTTTATTAATACGCTCTCAAATAATAAATAGGAATACATTTCCACGTCATTTTTTATTATGGAGATCTTCGCCAATAGCCTTACTATAACCGTAAATTAAAAAATTATATTATTAATAATATAATATCAGAACATTAAAAATTGTATTTACAATAAATTTAAGAAAAAAAAACAAAGGTGATATATTTACCTAATAATTAACAAAATTGTTCCTACTTGGTTTATGAATATTAAAAATTATAAAAACAAATTTTCATAAAGTAGCCAGCCAACTTATCTATTTACATATAAAACAACGCCGCCGGCTACGTTACTTTTTTTGAAATTTAAAAATCACTTAATATTTACGCTTAAATTCATAACAAACCGTTTACAATTAGGTACATTATTCATGTGTGTCTATAATTTTCAAGCAGTAATGTGGTGCGTGTATGCTTGGTTTTCTTGTTAAAATCATGAAATTTTAAACTATTTTATGCAAAAAAAGGCATTCTTGGTAGATGTCACTAACTCGAACCCTTCTCAAGAAAGTGATTTGCATTGCAATGTCATAGCTGCAGTTCATTAGAACAGATTTATTAAACTGAATCAGATAGGTATACGGTTCAAAATGGGAACCACTGTGTTCAAAACAATGGTTGGCATTTTGGTATTCCTTCACTGCTTCTCTTGAATTACCGTCTGCAAAATCGTAAACGAAATCAATATTTTCATATTCTTAATTTGTAAATTTGTATGGTATTTTAAAAGTTTAACGGGATACCTACATATATAATCTTAATTTTATTACCATAAAATCTTAATATTATATAGTAAACCAATACCTAATGACACGGATTATGACATCTTGCATGACAAAGGTCAAAATATGTTTTTTAAAGCACTCATGTCTCGTGTCAAAAATGGTATAAAAATATGGTATACAGTTTTGCAGTTACAAAATATATACAGGGTATTTCAGTTCGAGCAAATCAAACTTTAACCACAAATAAAACAATAAATAATTCAGAATTGCCTTATAAAGCAAAGGGTCTAAGTCTCACCGTTTTCACTGTACAGGGCCGTATTAATAAAAACGGAGCAGTATCACAGTTAGATATTTTTTTTACCCCACATTATAAAATAAAAATTTTGATATCGGCCAAAAAATAAAGAACTTACAGGCTTGTATCTTGTATCATATTTAAGCGCGATATAAAACAGCACTGTTTCCAACATTAAGAAAATAGTACCTACACTACATAACTTTCTTAAACATTTGACATATCAAGTAGGTACCTATATACCTACCTACGTGTAAAGAATGACATTTTCTAATAAGTTTGTAAATGGTGTCTTAATTAATTGTTAATAAACCTTGGTACCGAGGTACGCATTTTTTTCGATTAAATAACACAATGTGAAGTCAATGTGGAATAATAAAATAATTAAATCTAGATTAATTACCAATTTTGGAAATCTAGAATCATCATCATTCATCCTGCACTATAGTCCGTTATGTTTTTATTGTTTTTTAAAAGAGTAACTAATTATGAAGTTTATTGGTAAAAGAAAGATAGATAGGTACCTAATACCTATTATATTTCTCAACAGAAAAAGATAAATTGGAAATGGAAATGGAAATTGTAACATTCTAATTTTAAATGCCATCTTATGGAATAAATTTACATAAGATACATTTTAAAATTGTACATACAGTTGCATTATTGTCTAATACCAAAATATAAGCCTATTGATGTATTCATTATGCACAAATTACTTTTTACTAATTTTAAATTTCGCGCGAATAAATTGCAGGGGGCAGCATAGTCAATCACAAGCGTAATGGTAAAATGGAGTCTCATTTGTACGTGCAGTTTGTACACAAAATTTAATCAACTAGATTTATATTTATAAACAGTATTAATCTAACAATAGGTAATATTTAGTTGATGCAAATGTGATTTTTAATATAGTATTGTTTACGGAAGGGTGAAACAAAGTGTTAAAATAGTGTAAAAAATCGTGCACAGATCGACGGTATCCATGGTAAGTCATTGTTTTGTAATTCAACGTGATAAAAATTTCACAGTGTGCATTAATTGTATTTTCTGAAATAGAATAATTTTTGCCAATTTACGGCTTTGTCATATTTTTTCACTGCAATTTATGCAAATCTAGAATTCTATTGGCTAGTTGGAAATCAACATTTCTGTATAAGATATCACCTGATTGGTTGTATTTCGACAACTAAATACTGAACTGTATTATTCTAACCAATTAAATATCTTTTCACTCATTACGACTAGTGTAGTGCATGTATGTGTTCTAAAAATTTGTGTGTAACATTCCAAATAAATTTTATAAACAGTAAGTGAACAATTGAATCCTGTTTTGTTAGTAGTAGGGCATTTAAACAATAGTTAGGGGTTGCGGGAGGAAGCTGCGACCTTTGATGGAGACCGCAATGTCGCTAATTTAGAACGCTAAGCGCCCAAGCGGTGGACATCTCAAATGGCGGTCGGTAAGGTTCATTGTTCCCTAGCCGGCTATATTGATAAGTTGACGGACGATTTCTTATCATTGTAGTCAGCCGGCAGCGTCACGTCATTAAACAACAGTAATTAATTAGTGTAAGGCCATCTACAATATTACGAAACGAATATTTCTAGATATTGTTCGGTTACAAACATTCTGCCTGCCTGCCGCTAATCAATTTTGTAATTACCTTGTATCTTCCATTTCTGTTCCCATCAGTGTACTGCAAACTGCAATTCATGTTAAATACATGTTTTGCGGATGTTCTACAATATATGTTTATTATTTTATGATTTCATATGAAAGTGTATAAGTATCTAATTTTTAGGTCAAATGTGTATTGATTTTAATTGGATATTATATGAATATCATACTAATTATTGTTAAACATTTTCAGCTTTTCTTCTTGTTTGCCATTTCTTTCTCTTTCTATTGACTGATTGGGGCCGGGGGGTGAAAAGTTGTACAGCTCATGTTTTTTTTTACACATAAGCGTATAGCTTTTCCCCTTTGGTTTTAATTACTTCTACAAAATTTTTTTTTTTGTTTTTACTGTTTGTATTAGGTATTTAGAGTCGCCGTTAAATAACTATAAATATTAAATAATGATACTAGAAACACCTAGGTACCATCTAACAGCATATTTTTAGAAAACCTAACAATTTTGGATTTTCTTAAACTGAGTTCATACAATCGCGAATTACTGAAACTGAATATTATTCTGATAGGTCGTTGATTCTGATACTCATTTAAGTAACAGTGTATGATCTCTATTAAATTAGCCAATCACAACAATATTCGCAATTTGCGAATTTGCGAATTTGCGACTAAATGTACCTCGCTTTAGAAATATGTACATCATTGCTTAAACGTCTGATTAAATTATATTTATTGAGGTTATAGATTAGGATTTTTAGGAATTAAAAATAAATAATGAACTTAGGAATTAATAATGAATTTAGTAAAATAAATCTTTAAAAAAAGCAGGACATTTTTTCTTCATCCGGTAATCAGTGGTTCCTTTACCAAGCTTACACAGTAGTAATATTATTTTAATGTTGCTTTTTAGAAATTTGAATTCCTGCAAAATCGGCAAAAAGTTACTGTTTGATACTTTTTGGTACAACAGCAATTTAAGAGTTGTATTATAATAAGTTTGTATTAAATTTTCATTTTTTTTTTAATTTAGGAGGTATAAAAATTATTACAGTACAGCGCCAAAATGTTGAAAAGTACGGAATTTATGTTAAGCATTCATGTTATCTCAAGTTCATATAATTTTTGGAGAATTCGTGTCAGTTCAATATATTTCACTAAAAAGTTCATGGAATTAGTGTGATGAATGCATGAGGATTCGTATGAATTTGTATATTTAAAATGAATACATACACATATACACCAACAGTAAGAAATTGAGGGGTGCATTACTTAAAAACATGGAGAAATTTAAATAATACAAACTGTCATAAGTTCATTAATAATAAAAAGAAAATTATTTTAATAACTGCCTATACTTATTTTACAGAAAAACAAGTTGTTTTCATAATTTTAACAGGACATAATATTTTACAATTTTAGGCCCATGAACATTATGTATCAATTAATCAGCAGAGTAAATAATTGGTACATTTTTTATCATCAATTATTTTCAATGCCTCCTAGGTTTTTAAATTTAAGCAGAAGCTTAATAAATTTGAAACTTTAAACCCATATAAAAAATATCCTGTATTATAAATTCATGAAATTTGATATGCTGGAATTTTTCAATTGATGCTGATTGAGGTTACGTAGATTTTTGATAATAAGAGTGAAAAAGTGAAAAAAATCTTAGTGATCATGGTCATCTTAACAAATCAGTCACAAATACAAATGCAACGGGTTTAAACGAATAACATACGTCTGCCCCAAAGGCAAAGACGTCACAGGACGTGCTATGACATGTGACAGCAATGATGAAAGTCTATGACTTCACATATATTTAATGGTACATATAAATATATATTTTATAATATTCTTTAGATGCTTTCTACATTCTGTACTAATAATAAGCCCAGCTTCTGCGGCTTTAATACTTAACAGGTCGACCAAACTCATCTGCGAGATGTGCAAATCAAGAAAAGAGTGGATTTGAAACTCGTGGACAAGATGAGTTTCGTGAAGCTGTTTGTGTTTATAATTTCTGGGAAAGTGAATACTGTTGTGATGTAACACATGACTACTGACTAGTATGAAATACGTGACATAATGGCAATATATACAGGGATGGCCAGAAGTACGGAATAAAATTTATATCTTTTGAATGAGTTAATTTTTTTTAAAACGCCGAAACACAACTGATTTTGATTTTTCCCATCTTTCGGTTATATAATAATTAATTTTTTTCAACCCCTAACCCTCAGCTACCCCTACTTTTTGTTTTCAAATGGAAACATAAGGCATGAGGGGACTCGTTGAAAAGCTTATAGAATACTGAATCCAGCCATACCAAATAAACAAGTTTTTTTTTTTTCATTTAGAAATTGAAACAACTAGATAATTTACAAAAATAAACTCAATGTCGCAAATGCTGAAAATGTCCTCCATTCACTATTTGGCATTCTCCAAGACGATAGTAAAAGCTGTCCACAGCATTCTGAATGACTTCAGCTGGTAAATTATGCATCTCCNAGAAAGCCTGGCAAGTAAGTGGTACCAAAAAAACGCAACATAAAAAATATATCTTTTTTGCGTTAGCAGTGATAGGTACAGTTTCAAATTATTTATTTTATTCTGTGCAAATTCATGGAGGATAACACTGAAGATAATTAAATTTTATTTCACTTGTTAAGTAGGTGTTTTATACAACCCTAATAACCTTGCTATTGAAAAAATGAAACTTGTTTATTTGGTATGGCTGGATTCAGTTTTCTATAAGCTTTTCAACGAGCCCCCTAATGCCTTATGTTTCCATTTGAAAAAAAAAAGTAGGGGTAGCTGGGGGTTAGGGGGTTGAAGAAAAATTAATTATTATATAACTGAAAGATGGGAAAAAATCAAAATCAGTTAACGTGTTTTGGCGTTTTCAAAAAAATTTACTCATTCAAAAGATATGAATTTTATTCCGTACTACTGGCCATCCCTGTATAATATGTCCTACAGATGTAAATACGTGCAAAGTGGTAGGCTTATATTTTTTACATCACGTAAGCACATGTTACGTGATAATAGAAAAAAAAGCAGTACCATTTTTTGGTTACTTATATTCATGAATAAACAAATAACTCTCTGAGAACTAATCACTGCTTCACAACTTTTAAAAAGTACACTTGTCCATATGATGAAAGGACACAGTGATACACATGTCAGTTGTAACATGTATATAATAAGAAATTGAAAAAAAAAAAAAATTGGTTTAGTATGAAGCTATGATGTATTCAGCCATTCTTGTTTCATCGAATTATCGTTGGCTGTTTGTTTTTTGCCCTGTTAACATATACATATCAGGTGTAAAGTCAACTTACATATTTCCATCGTGTAAAACAGTGGTGAAGCATGTGCTGCTGCAAAAGTATTGGTTACAACAGATTGAACGGCAATCCCCACTTTCATAAAGGACCTGACTTCACAGCATATAATAGTTTTTACTTTGTATATCTCATTCCCGGTTTTTATTACTATTTTATGTTGTTTTGGATTAATTTAAAATTTCTAGCATAGATTCGGATGACAAAGTGGTTGAATAAGGAAAAAAAAAAGGTAAAAACACAACGTATTTAATTTGGAATTTTATAACTTTTTAATGGTACCTGCCTTAACTTTACTAAATCTGTCTATTTTCATGATCACACCGAGATTGCATACAATGGTTTACTTTATTGGAATATATTAGGTGGCCGTGGTATAGTTCACTTAAATTAAGTCAATGTTAGAGGTCAGTGGCGCAGATGTTTGCAAACTAAATACAGTGCTTTAAAAAAACTAGTAAATACTTTCTATTAAAAACCTGAAATTATTTTAAAATTTATTTTGAATCTATGAGATGAGTATTTTTATTTATTATGGACATTGTATAAAATAACGAAAATAATTATTTTAAAACATAAATTAGTTTTATTTACAATTGGTAATGTATGTCTATCCATATACCAATATAAGTTAATATTTAATGAATCATGCAAAAAAGTGTATTTTTAAAAACATTAGAAAATGTGTATTTTGTTTGGTTCTTCATCCACATTGATATAAAAAAATACAATGTTAAAATAACATGTCACAAAGTCATACAAAAGCAATGTCACTGTATTTTATACGGTTTGTCTGAAAGCATAACTAGTAGCAACACTGATACAACTTTGATCCAGGTGCTACTCATTGGCAGCCTACACAAACTTAAGTGCAGTTTAAAAAACATTGTAGAGACTATTTTTCTGATAAAAGTTATTTCAGATTAATATTCTGAAGAACATATACTACTCGATATACTATTACCTTCAAAAATTAGCCCCCACTTAAAGTTATACATAAGTTATCTG